CTGACTGCCCAAAAAACTGGGGGGCTGCCCCCCCCCGCCCCCCCCCCCCTCCGCCCGGTGCGCCCATGTCAATCTGCAAATTATAATCATTTAAATTATGTCAATTGTACAAAGGGACAAAAGACTTATTTTATGCCTATCAACTTTTGCCTGTTGAACACTAGATCAATAAATAGGAAATAACTTTTTATTAATGATTATGTGTCTGAGAACGATATTGACATTTAGCAATGATTGAGACATGATTACGTGAGGATGATAATGAATATTCTTTTGCTGAAACCTGCCCAACGGGGTATCACTTTTATCACGTTACAAGGAAAAATGCACCGAGGTGGAGGAGTTGGTCTCTTACTCAAGAAATATATTAAACTCGGAAAACAATCTCAGAGCTAAAATTCTCTTCTTTTGAATACAGCTATTTCAATTAAGGTTGTCCACGAGCAAAGCGGAAAAGTCGAATACGAGCGTGATAAGCTGCTGGGAACCGCTTTGAAAATTCATTAATTTGTTAGCGATTCCCAGCAGCTTTTCGCGCTCGTATTCGACTTTTTAGTTTGCTCGTGGACAACCTTAATTGAAATACCTGTATATAGATTACAGATGTCATGACTCATGATTACCTTGAACCAGGGTTTATTTTAAGAAAAATTTAGAACTGTACATATAGGGATGTTACGAAGGTAACGACTGGGGGGGGGTCGAAGGATTTTTTACCTGCATATAGGTGACAGAATAATGGTGTGGTTGGGTGAGAGAATTGGAGAAAGGCCAGACAAACTCGATTTTGGGTGTGGGAGCTAGGGGGTGTTCCCCAAAACAATTTGAATCTAGAGACTCTTAAGTTCTGGCAAAGATTTGTTTTACCCAACCACTCACAAAAACTGTTTCAAAACATGTAACTGCAAATCATGGATATTCAATATATAACAACCTTAAATTTGCATTTGAGGCAGCAAAGAATATTAGGTTCTCCCACTCTAATCTCTTTTGGGGAGTTTTGCTCGCCCCAATTTTACCGTCTTTTCCATTACCCCAGCACGTAAGTGATTTGTGAGGAGAATAGGAGGGTCTGGAGTCCTCCCCCAGAAAACGTTTATATTTTTCATGCTCAAATAACGACAGCATTTTTGGAATTTTCTGGAGCATCCACAAGGGTAACGAGTAAATGAGAAGACTGTTTTAATTAGGACTATTTTTGTTAGTTTGGTGACTGCACATTGGTGTTTTAAGAACTGCACAAATGGGTTTAGAACTGCACATTTTGTGTAGAACTGCACGTTAAAATAAACCCTGCCTTGAACTGCAGTAACACTTGTACCAGAATGATTTATAGTACCACCGCCATCGAAGACTAATAAACTTAGCAGTTCAATATTGACTAATATAATTGATCATATTTCCTGGTAATATATTACTAAATTAATGGCAGGAGACTTTAATTTTCATGTAGATAACATTAAAGATCCAGATACTATTAAACTCAACAAGATACTAGAATCGTTTAATTTACAACAGCACGTCAATGGGCCAACCCACAAGAAAGGCCTCACCTTAGACTTGATTATAACAAAGAATGAAGATAAATTAGTGACAGACTGGTATCAAAATACATGATCTAGTAATATCAGATATTCAGATCATCTTGTTATACACTGTACATTACAGTTAGAGAAACCACCATTAGATCAAGCAGAAATTTACTATCGAAAATTAAACAATGTAAACATGGATAGTTTCAATGAAGACCTGAAAGTACTAAATTTAGATGATGATTATGATCTACCACTAGTCGGACCGTCCTTATTGATAAATATGGAAATATGTATGCAGCAGCATGCCCCACAAAAACGACGAATTATAACTCTTCGTCCTTCATCACCACGGTATAATGAGGATATTGGTAAAGAAAAAATAAATCGCAGGAAACTAGAGGAGTAGAGCGCCGCTGGCGCGCATCTGGATCAGTTTATTGACAGACAGTTATATGTTAAACAATGTGAGACAGTGAATGCCATGATAAAGAATGCTATTAAAGACAACATACTACTCATCGGTTATTTCTAATAATGCACATAAATGACATAATAAGAAAGTGTTATTTAGTACGGTTGATCGATAAATTACTCCATCGAAAGCCAGAAAAGCAGCGCTATCCAACTACGTCATCAACGAGTGAACTCGTGAATAAATTTGCAGATTTCGTCAGTAATAAGATAGCTACTATACGGAAAGAACTAACCATGGATTCTTCCCATTGTAATCAGCTAAATCAAGAGGAACAATATGTACAGTGGCAGTGCGTTAATTAAATTCATTAACTTTCAAGAAGTCACGGAACATGAGATTAAAAATGTTATTGATAAAGTTGGTAAAAAATCTTGTTAACTTGATCCAGTTCTTCCAAAAATCATTCAAGGTTGTCAGAAGACTCTCTTACCTATGACTACTAAGATCAGTAATGAGTCACTTCAGTCAGATTGTATGCCTGACTAGCCTGAGAAACTAAAAGAAGCCGTTAAAATTCCTGTCTAAAGTAATTGAGAAGGTTGCTGCCGGTCAGCTTCTGGAACATTTGGCTAATAACAACCTAGAAGAACCTTTCCAGTTGGATATAAACGCTCAGTTCATAGTACAGAAACAGCCCCATTAAAAGTAGAAAACGATATTCCTGTCATTGATAATCGTAAGTGTGTTGTGTTGCTATTACCGATATATGTCAGCAGCATTCGATATTGTTGATCACGAAGTAATATATGAACAACGAGAGCGAGTGTTTTACCCGGATATCCAATCACGAGAAAACAATAACGTAATTATAGGAATTCTATTCAAGTAATTTTGCATGCGTAATTAATATATTTGATGAAAACACTAGTGACTTTCATCAAGTTTCACCGGGTTATCCAAATGGCATCTTGTGATCAAATAGGTGATTATCATTGGCTGAATTGCTCATGAATTATTAATGAATTTGAGAAATTATAATACAATTTTTTCTACCAGTTTTGTTCAAAATCATAAAAGCTATTTGAAAAAGCTATTTCAAATTGTGTTATTCTATTCCAAATTGTGTTTTTCTATTTCAAATTGTGTTATTCTACTTCAAATTGATATTCGATTTAAACGAACATAAATTAGGTGCAAGGATAACATAATTTTTATTCAAATTTTGACCCTAATAACGCTTCATATAGTATATACAGGACTGATTGGATGGATTCTATTTTTCCAGATGCCAAGAAAAATCCTGAGATGTGTAGAATACTTGAAGAAGAATATCCTGGTTAAATATGGCATCCCACAAAAGGGAATCACACTGTTAATTTCAAGGAGTTATTTTGACTCCCCTGAGAGTTAAAATTTGGGAGAAAATTTTTTTGGAGGTAAAAAACTACTCCACTTCGATATGTATTCGAACATATACTCCACTGGGAGTCAATTTAACTCCACTTAAAGGAGTAAAAATAACCCTAAAACAGGAGTAAATATAACGGAGTAAATATAACGGAGTAAATTGTATATATTCCAGGGGATGTTTTAACTCCCAATTAATCGTAGTAGTCCCTACTCAGCCTGTGTAATATAACTCGACCATTACGCATATAAATTCATAGGAATGCCAAAACAGTAGTAATATACCGGGCTTAATGAACCCCATTTGATGAGCATAATTAGTACGGCTTAATTTATTCATAAACCAAATTA